AAGGAACAAAAATGTTGTAAGGACAATTAACTGCATTTATTTGTTATTTTTGTGTGTTAAAGATCTAATGTCTCATGGCATGGGGAAGAGGAAATGATGAGAGTAACTAGATGTTTGAAGAATCAATAAGTTAATGGATAAACTAATGAAACCTATGATTTTGAGTATCTCATTAGTGGTCTCAGATGGCTCCTGGACTCTCAAAGTTAAACCAGTCCCTCTAGTAGTCTTTTTGATTAACTGATTGCCTTCCCTGGAATGCTCAGTACCTGTGCTAAGAGTGACCTAGGCTAGTCTGGAATCATTGAACCCATGGGAGATTGTGTTTTTCAAATCTGGACCACAATGAACTTGAGGTCTTTCTCTGTAAATTGTGGCATTTTCTTCCATTACAGAATTTATGAATGTCCTAACACCACCCATGTGAGATATCTGTCATTAATTCTTAAAGATGATTATAAGCATCAAGGTAATCAGAACTTTTCCTAAGGGCCTTTGATCCTTAAATTCTCTTTCTCCCACATTTTGCGAAGTAAAAAACAGATTTACTGCCTTGACCAAATTACATGGTGAAAATTTTAAATAAGTACAGTCATGCATTGCATAATATTACATAACAACATTTCAGTCAACAACAGTCAATGTATAATATTATAATGGAGCTGAAAAATTCCTGTCACCTAGTGACACTGTAGCCATCCTAATGCCTAATTAAATGTTTGCATGTTTGTGGTGATGCTGGCATAAACAAACCTATTACATTGTCAGTCATATAAAGTATATCACATATAACTATGTATAGTACATAATATTCGATGATAATAATAAATTACTGTGTTACTCATTTATCTATTTACTATAGTATACTTTTAACCACTATTTTGTGCACTCATTCTACTTATAAAAAAGAGTTAACTTTAAAACAGCCTCAGGTAGGTCCTTCAGGAGGTATTCCAGAAGAAGGTGTTTCTATCATAAGAGATGACAGCTATATGTTATTGCTTCTGAAGAACTTTCAGTGGGACAAAATGTGGAGGTGAAAGACAGTGATACTGATGATCCTGACTCTGTGTAGGTCCAAGCTAATGTATTCGTTTGAGTCTTCATTTTTAACAAAAATGTTGAAAAAGTATATATATACACATATACATATATATAGAGAGAGAGACAGGGAGGGAGAGAGAGAGAAAATTTATAGACTAGGATATAAAGAAAACATTTTTGTACAGCTGCACAATGTGTTTGTGTTTTAAGCTGTTATTATAAAAGTGTAAAAAGTTGTAAATAATTAACAATCTGTAAAGCTACAGTAAGCTAAGGTAAATTTATTGTTGAAGAGATAATTTTTTAAAAATAAGTTTAGTGTAATCCAAATATATGTTGTTTATAAAATATATGGTAGTGCACAGTAGTATCCTTGACCTTCACATTGCATTCACCAAGCTCCATTCATGGTAGTACCCTATACAGGGGTATCTTTTTAAAAATTTTTTAAATTTTTGATTATTTTTGGTTTTTAAGGAGTGGAAAATTTAATAGACAAGAAAGAAGAAAGAAGAAAATGGCTCCCCCGTACAGAGTGAGGGGGGCTCCGAATGGACAAACCCCCATTTTTAAAATCTTTTATACCATATTTTCACTGTACCTCTTCTACGTTTAGATACAAAAATACCATTGCGTTACAATTTTCTACAGTATTCAGTACAGTAACACGCTGTACAGGCTTCTGGTCTAGAAGCAACAACCTATACCACATAGCCTAGGTATGTAGTAGGCTATAACCTCTAGGTTTGTGTAAATACGTTCTATGATGTCTGCATGACAAAATTATCTAATAACACATTTCTCAGAAACTGTTCATCATTAAGTGGCACAAGATTGTCATTGCCCATTATAAAATATTTTCCTCTTCAGCTGTTTAGTAGACCTATGTATAATCTTTGCAATATTACTATTTAAAAAGGTATTTTGAGATTTTTAAAAGAAGGGTAAAATATCAAATAGGTTTAAAATACTTTTAGCCTCTAAATAAATGTTATACTGTGTCAAACTATTTGGGCCACCAAAAGGTAAAAATAGAAAGAAATTTGTAAGTACCTTGATTTTTTTCTTCCCAATATTTTCAAATCTCTCTGGGACCATTTAAAATAATTACTATTTCAAGATCTCAAATTTCAGCATTTCTTACTTATATTATATTTTCATTTAATAACTGCTCTGCTAATGTCTTCGCTTGTCATCTTGCGTTGTACCCAAGATTAAAGTATTGCATGTATGTATATACTGACTGCTCTATCACGTATTTTGTTATAAAAGGGCATTTCATTTCAATAGAATATTTAGAAACATTCTTAAGGTGTTTGTAAATTTAAACTGCTTTCTGATCACAGCTGCAAGACTGAGACACTTTCAAAAGTAAGTTATTTATCTATAATTTGTTTCAAATAGAAGCAGTCTCACAGTTTTTAGCATTTTATAGTTATCGATATCATTATGAAATATTTTTAAAACATATTCTAGAAATAAGCAAGTTTTCAGCTTATGGAAATTATAACTTAAAGCATGGCAAACAAGTAAGTACAGAACAATATAAGGAATTACTAAGATGAGGAAGGGATGTTCCCAGAAGGAGAAAGCAATGGAAAGGCATCAAGTGAGGATATGAAAAAGATTTGCTAAGCTAGTTGCCACTCCTCTTTCAGATGAAAATGTCATTTGAGTTTCATCAAGAAGAGCTGAGTCTCCCATATCAATAGTTGATCATTTTCCCTTATTCTTTGACCCAGGAAAGCAAATGAAAGCTGACTGGAAATGAAAAGGCGCAGGTTCTAATGTTAAGTTCAGCTTACTTGGTCGAGGCCCCTAAGTAAACTGTCTCTCATTATTTTTTTCATCACTGAAAAACAGATGAGACTAGTGGAATTATATAGTTTTATAGTTTTAGCACATTACTACCACAATTAGTGTTAAATGAGTCAAACAAAAGGAAAACTTAGCCAAAATTAAATGAAGCCACTTTGAGATGAATAATGGCTTTCCATTTCCAATTAACCTAAGGCACTGCAAAATAACCAGATAATATTATCAGCACACAGCTAGTTCACCTGTTGTTCTAAAGTCTAGATTAAGCAAATCAAAAAAGTCCCCAGACTCTTAGTTCAGGTTGCTTTAGATTTAACAACAAAGAAGAGTTTCAAATTTCAAGATGCTAAAGAAAGTAATATAATGAATGGCTGATTATGAGATTGGGGAAAAGAAAAGGCTTGTTCTGATGAGTAACTATTTCCACCCTTTGTGTTTAATTTGTGTCGCAAATGTTGATATTTTATAATCTTTTATTTATTTATTTATATTTATTTATTTATTTTACTGTTTCAAGCTAGGAGTAGGACTTCAGCATTCTATAATCTTTTACCTAAAGTTTTGTTCCAAAGTTGTGATAAAGACCAAAAAAGATAAAGTCACATAAGTATGTAAAAAAAGGGAGGGTGACAAAAGATAAAAATATAGTCAATTTGAAAGGCAGTATTTCATCCATGTGTTAATAATGGTGTGAGTTCAGGACTTAGGAAGCAAGATAACTAAATGGTGAGGTTCTATGCCAAATGCTCCAGAATACACAGACACAGTTACGATGAAGTGCAGAACTGAGATTTGGATACAGAGAATTCTCAATCTTTTTCTCAGCATAGTATCAGATGTCTACCAGCTTGGGGATGGCCTCCCCTTCACCACTCATGTAGACACACACAAAGGAATACTTGGAAACAGAGCAGGGCTTCCAGTATCTCATAAATACAGTGACAGATTTCCCAAGAATTATACTCTGGGTTAGAGGAAACCAAGAATAGAAAATGTTCTTAAAAGGAAAATCCATAAAGAGATATCTGACCCTAACCTCAACTACCAGAGCTACAGAGAAGAGAAACAAAGACTTTGTTATAAAGAAGACATTAAAACAAACACATGTACAACATTGATAAGCATTTTACTCAAAGGGAGAAAAGAACGGGAAGGGCTGAAAGTCTCCACACAAGCCAATCTTTTTGATGAAAATATATTTCCTTTTTTCTTCTGGTCTCCTCTATAAGACAGTGCACAAAGTGCTCATTTATATTTTCTTTGTTTTCATCCCAAAGCTAGAAGATCAAAGAGTTAATAAAACCTCCTAGCTATAGAAGGTCATTACAAAACTAAATGCAGCAATTCAAAGTGGAAAATAGAATGAATGCCAAGGAGATGTTTAACAAAGTAACATTCTAGATGTATTCTTTGAAGAACATTTGCAGACTCGTTTGATTGCTTTAGAGCGCACAGGGAACAATGCAGCTGCATGGAGCTAACATTGACTGATGGTTGCATTCTGCCAAACCAAAGCCAGGCGGCTTAGAATCACAAGTGTATTTGATATAGAATTACCTAATATAGTGGAAATATTCATGTGTATTTTGCATAGCAAAATAATATTAAAAACTTCCACCTTTCCCCCCCGTGGGCCTAATTAAATGCCCAAACATAAGACATGAGTCTATTCATTGGAAAAATAATTTGAAGCACTATTTTTCCAAAAACTGACAAAATTGGATGGCAAAATAAGGGATTAGCTTAATGCTTCCCATTAGCTATTGAGATCCTCCTTCTTTTGCTTTTTTCTTCTTTTTTTTTTCTTTAGTGCTGACATCCTTATAATGGTAGCAAATACAGAATACAAAAGGGAGGCTTTGGAAATCATCAATATTACCACATTGATTTATTCAAAAGAGACAGGTTGGTACACTGGTCTTGCATTACAGTGTGACATGCTAGAGTTTGCCATTCACTGTATACTGTCATCTAAATGCTTGAGTTACCCCAAAATTCTTATGTTGAAACCTGACCCTCAATAGTATTGAGAGGTAGGGCCTTTAAGAGGTGATTAGGTCATAAGGGTAGAGACCTCATGAATGGAATTGGCACCCTCATAAAAGAGGCCAAAAGAAGTTTGTTTGCCCCTTCCTCCATGTGAGGGCCCATCTAGAAGTCACCATCTATGAAGCAGAAAGCAGGCCCTCAGCAGACATGAAATCTCCTGGTGCTTTGATTTGGACTTCCCAACCTCTAGAATTGTGAGAAATAAATTTCTACTGTTTATATTTTTGATAGCAGCTCAAATGGACTAAAACACTGTAACCCTGGGGTCTTAGCATTAGGACCCATTAAACAGGTTTCCTCCTGGAGAAGAAACAGCAGAACATCCTAGAACATCAGAAGTGCCCATCCTGTTGGTAGGGTCATGGCTATGTGGCAACATGAAGGCCAAATGATAGAGGGTATTTAAGGTCTCCTACTGAGGTCTAATCAAATGATGTTTTTCCCACTATTTGAAAACTTGGGAAAAACTTGTTTTCATGTTGAGGTAAAAGGAGATCTTTCCTAGGGTAATTTGAAGGTGAATTGAAGACTGGCATAGCTAGGTGTTCATATAATGATTTTATTTAGGAGAGTGTAATTTAAAAAAAAAAAAGCATAGAAATATTTAAATAGCTGAGATTAAGCTTTAATCAATTAAACTTTTTAATTATTTGGGGCAAATAACTAACATTTCACTATCAAATGAATCTGTTTTGAAGTACCATTGAAAGTTGTGCTGATGCCAATAAACAGTCTTTTTGCCTCAGTGGTGCATGTCACCTTCCTGCAAGGCAACTAGTTTGCAGATATGGTCAGAGGGAAAATTACTGAACAACAAAATGAAAAGGGGGCATAAGTCAGCCAGCTTTCTCAATTCTAGGAAAGGAAACTTCCCTCCTGCTTATGAAAGAGGACGATTGTGCTCAGTACCACTTAACCAGTGCCAACAATCTGGTAAGCCCTCCATTCAGTGCTACACCAGGGCTACAGAAAGGTGACCTGGAGTTTGGGGCCGAGGTAAGGGAAAGGTCACTGCCTGAAAAATGAAACTAGTCAAAAGAAAAGAATCCTAGGAATGGGTGAGGTTACTCATCCACCAAAGTAGCCCAGTCTAAAAGATGGCATTTTTTTTTTCTGGTAGTTTAGTGGTCAGGGAAAAAATAAAAGAGAAAGAAAAGGATTTGTTAAAAAAATATATTCAAAATTCTAAGCCTTTTAAATAATCCTGCTGACCCTTGCAAGCTTGTCCTAGCATGCTTTGAAGTGTGGCCATAAGAATCAGCATTTTGTCACTAAAATGCCTACAGACTTTCTCTATTTTTTTACTTCTGCTTTTTCGGTTCATCAATTCCCCTATCCTCTCGCTGGTTTTCCTCTCCATCACCACCACTACAATTTCAAAACTAAAAATCACATGTTAGGTATGAAGACACCATTACCCTGTTGTTTGAAACGTGCTCTGAACTAGCTGGTTGACTTTCCCCTCCTCAGCATCTTCTTGGTGCCTTTCTATAAAGGCAGCGTATCCAACACATGCCAGTATGTGGACCTTAGTTGGTCATGGTATGCCAGGAGTGCCTGTTTTAAATAACCCCTTTTAAGGTTAAAGGAACTTAAATTCTTGGCATATTTATTTGCCCTTTCATAGCTTTTATCTTTGAGATGTAGATGAGTGCTTACAGGGTGCCTGGAATGGAAACAGGCTATAGGATGAAGGAGTATGGGCTCAGGGTTGCATATTTTCAGGCTTCCCCACCTCAAAACAAAACAAAACAAAACAAAACAAAACAAAAAAATCCATGACATTTCTTTTCCTGGATGGCAAAAATGAAAACATTTTATGAATAAATCCACAAATAAAATGATATCACTTTAAAGATGTGAAAAAACTAGGTGTACTTTGAAAAAGTACATTTTAAATAGGTAGCCAGAAGCAGATGTGTGCAACTGCAATGTTTACTATTCATCTGATTTCTTTTTCTAAGAAACACAAAAACCATGAAGTTAGAAAGAATTCAATTAACTCTCTTCAGTGTGCAGAAGGATGTAGAAGGAGTTTCAACTTCCTTTTGTTTTATATTTGTTGTCAAGAATTCATACAAGAAAGTCAATTTTATACAAAATAATTTTACAAAATTACTTTTAAGATAGTCAATTTCCATAGATCAACTTCAGTAGGTCATATAATATGTCTTTTAATATGAACTCCTTAGCTTTATTAGTGCATTAAAAATTATTTATCTTGCAAAACAATAAATTAAAAACAGAATTAGAATATCTTTGCTTTATGTAGCCACAGTATTAAGTTAAAATAGTATAATGCATGTTATACAAAGAGAAATGTAAATGGGGCCTAAAAGAACATTTTTAAGTCAGTTTCACATTAAACATTGAATAGAAAAGTTGACTTATCTTAAGTAAAGCAAGTCACTACATCACTCTGCTACAGCAAATGTTTCTTTGTAAATGAGGATGAACTGACAATGCTTGAAAGTATAGTTCATCAGAATCACAAGAAACCAAATATTATGAATGTGTAAAATTCCATGTTTATTTAATATCGGTTACACAGCCAGTTTATTGAAACCAGTCTTTGTAAAGACAAATAATGTGTCTGATGAACATAAACAGTATCATACAGTTGAAATTCATCCTGTATTTTCACCTGAATAAAGAAGTCATTATGCAAGAATTTCAACAATAAAGACCTTGCCTTGAATTGGCATGGCATCTCTCAGAGCTTCAAGGCAGCACAGTCTTCCATCCAACTCCAGAGATTATCAGCTCTACATCAGGGAACTTCAGTGATTAGCTTGTCCACACTTAGCTACCACGGAACCTTCCTCCAGTATCTGCATTGGCCTCCAGTGTAGTCAGTGACATGGGCACCTTCTCAGAGGACATATCCAGAACCCAAGCTGGGTATTCCTAGGACAAAAAATATGCAGATAATGTAAAAAGGCTCATTCCAGTCACAGAGAAGTATGAGTGTTATACTGCTTAATAATGATACCAACAAATATTAATTTTATTGTTATAGTTGCCCATATATATTAAAGTTTACTGTGTGCCAGGCATAGCACACTAGCTCATAAAATTGACATAAGAACCCTATAACTATTAAAATTATCTCTGCTCCAGAGGCCAAGAAACTTGAAAAAGTGATAGAAGCAGGGTTTGCATCATCAAACACAGCTCAGGTAAGACTAGTAGCTTCCTTTACCCAACATTGTAATGAACTAATAGTTTCTTCAAAGCCACTCACACCTTTTTTTCTGCTCTGCCTTTCTCTCTTTCTTTCAATTAGTTTTTAAATTGATATATAAAATGTTATATATTTACTGTGTACATCATGATGTTTGGAAGTATATATACATTGTGGAATAGTTAAACTTAGCTAATTAACAAATTTATTACCTCATGTAGTTACCATTTTTGTGGTGAGAACACTTAAAATCTACTCTCTTAGAATTTTCCAAGATACAATCTATCATCATTAACTATAGTTACCATGCTGTAAAATAGCCCTCTTGAATTTATTCCTCCTATCTAACTATAAATATGTATCCTTCCACTGCACTCCAGCCTGGGCGACAGAGTGAGACTCT